GCCTGCTTGTCGGGTGTGTGTCAGCATCTGTGAAGTGTCTCAGCTGAGTGGTTGGGGTGTAGTGAAGGTCCTTTTCTCTGCAGTTTTACTCATAATTTTTATTTGAAATCTTGTGCTTTTTGCATTTCAGTTTTTTTTTCTTTTTTTAAAGACTGTGGATATTTCCTCGGAATTCTAGAGGAAGTCATAAATATTCTTGGTTTTTAGGATTTCTTTTGAAATCCCCAGTTACTGAAAAGGTTTTTTTTTCCTCCCCCTCTGTATCCCATTGGATCATCTTTTTGGGAATTAGGGTGATAGATTGTTTTTCTTTTGTGTTAGGTATGACTCCTTTGGCTATTTTAATTCTTGAAAGTCTGCTTCTGAAATTATTATCTGAAATAAAGACATTTTCTTCTATGACTTCCTTACTCTATTAGTGTAAATGAGCAGAAATTTATAAGGAAAGTGGGTCACAGTGTATAATTTGAATATAACCGCATTGTAATTTGTTCCATGGAATAAAATTTTAGGTCTTTCAACAGGAACGGCTTCCCACTCCAGTATTCTGGCCTGGAGAATTCCATGGACTGTATAGTCCATGGGGTCGCAAAGAGTCAGACATGACTGAGCCACTCAGCACACACACACAACTTTGGTTTCATTTTTGTAGCTTATTTTGTGTGTGTGTGTGCTTATTCTTAATAGACATCTTATCTGAATTGTCCTTTTAAGCCTCTTGCATTTTATTTTTTCCTGCGGGTTAAATTTTTAAAATTGCGAATATGAGAAAATATAACACATAAAATTAAAAGATAATAAGCAACATCTGTGTACTTGCACCAGCTTAAGAAATAAGGTAGTTCCTACCAGTGCTTCTGGAGCTTGTATCAGCTTGTATGTGCTGATTTTCTTTTTTTGGCCCGCTGTTTGTAATACTTCCCTACTACTATAGTTATTTTGAAACTAGATATAATTTTTAGTTTTCCATCAGTATAAAACTTTGTGTCTTTAGAAAATACATCAATGACTGCCATTTAGTTCATTAAATGAAAGAAAGTGAAAGTCACTCAGTCGTGTCCGACTCTTTATGACCCCATAGACTATACAGTCCATGGAATTCTCCAGGCCAGAATACTGGAGGAGGTAGCCTTTCCCTTCTCCAGGGGATCTTCCCAGCCCAGGTCTCCTGCATTGCAGGCAGATTCTTCTACCAGCTGAGCCACAAGGAAAGCCCTTAGTTCATTAACTCTTGAGTTAATCTGGGTTTGCCATATCATGCTAATGCATTCATTTCAATCACAGTTTTGCCACTCTAGTTTTTTTTTTTTTTTTAGATTTGTAGTGATTTTATAAATCTCAGCATAATAGTACTTTCAGTTAGGTGTCTTCATATCCTTCCACCCTCCCTTTCCTCCCCTCCCCTCTTGTCTCCCTGACCTCTTTTGAGAACGAAAAAACAGACACCAAGAGACCAAGTCTATACTTCCCTGAGCATACCATGCACCAGAACTCAAGCTTGTTGAAATTCTGTTAGCCCTCCCTGCACATGTGCTGTAAGTTAATTTTATGCAGTGGTTTTCAGACAACTAGAAAAATGGTTTGTAAGTTTAGCTTCAAAAACCACTTAAGCTCAGTTCCTAGATTGTTCAGACTATTATATTGCCTTTGGCAAAATGTGAGCTAAAACACACTGTAAAAGATTTTGAGGATTATGGGAGGTTTTTGTGGTAAGGATAGTACATGTTTTTCATTAGCATCTAATTTTGCTCCATAATTTGTGAATGGTTCCATTTGTAGGGGAAAAGATAAAAAATTCGTTGTAGGTTTTTTTTTTTTTCAGAAAAAAATTAAAATATGACTGGATTTGTAAGCTTCTTTAGAAAGAAAATTGTATCTGTAGTTTGCAAAGTCCATTTGGTGTTTGCTGTAATCTAGTTACTGTCAGTAAAAACTCACATCTGATACAGACCATTGTTTTTTTGAAAAGTGACAAGACTGAAGGATACATTGGAATAATCACTAGAATCTTTATTTAGTAATCCAATGTCAAGACTTGAGAAGTTTATCATTACTCAGTATATGATGGTTTAGTTGCAGCATACTTCAGCAGCCAATTTCCTAACTTGTAGAGATGGTTTGTCCTTTGCTAAAGGCTGTTTTTCAAATGAGTAGTGATTAAATGGTTGATTTTTTTTTCCCCCCAAAAGATGTCAGTTTTAGGGTAAGACCATTTTGATGAACAGAGGCGATGCATTATCCATTATGCCATTGACCCACTCATCTTTTCCTGTTGAAGCTGTTGAAGTTGGCAGGGTGTAGATAGCATTGTGACATTTTGCAGGTGAAGAATATAATGTTGAGAGCCTGAAGGATTTGAAAATGTGTAGTTCATAGCTAGAGGTTTTAGATTTCACATTTGTTTTTTTTTTTTTTACCATAGTTTATGCTGAAATTATAAAGACTTTTATTATTTTTTTTTAAAGACTGGCCATTTATGAGGGAAAAAATAAGAAAACTATGTTTTTGAAGTATCTTTAATCTTGATTCATATATTATTTTTGCAAGTAAAACTTTTGATGCGCTGCTTGAATGTTCATCTGTTTGTCTGTATCCCCCCTTTCCTCCCAAGTTGGGTACCAGTGGATCTCATGCTTAGGTTTTTACTTGACACCATAGCAGCGTCTAAACTGGAAAAGTGGTTGTTCAGGAATGGAATCTGGAATCGAGGAATGGTTTCAGAGACAGGTGGTTCCTAATTTACAAGTAATTCATACACGTAAACTGCTGTCTCTGAGCCGCTCTTCTGTGTTTTGAGCTTTTGAAGAACCCCAGGGGCTCAAAAGTAGGAGGAGAAATAAGTGAAAAGCAGAAATATTTGGGGTCAGTAAATACAAACTCAAATCCGTATTATGACCCACTTGACTAAAATTTTTCCTCACACTGTCTCAGTATTTTTTAATGTTATTTTGCAATACTGTTAGAATCCTACCCATTAGGTGTTTATTTGGTCTATTTAGCTAGCATCCTTGTTGAAAACTGCAAATGTTAAAGTGAATTATTTCAGCCCAGTTGATTTCTTCTTGTCACATACCTGAAGTGAACTCCTTTGAGGCAACAGGAACTTTGGGGTGGTAATTTAGGAACATACTGGTAATCAGGGGAAAGGGTTATTAATATTAGCAGGATGATTGGAATGTTGCAATGTAAATTTAGGGAATTGCAAGCATCAAGAGTTGAGGAGAGTGCTAACAAAGGAAAACAACCTACTTTAGAATTTTTCCAAATAAAGAGAGGATCTAGAATTGGTTAAGTTTCTGTGTTGCTTCTGCAGAGTCCCCAGTGCCCATGGCTGGTGTAATATCTTTTTGTCTCAATAGATGGATGTCTTTTGGCTAGCCTGGGAACTTGGCCAACATAAGCAACGTTGTTTCATTTGGAATAATACTGAATTCCACAGTATCAGTTTGAAAACTAGATTTTTAGACCAAACTCATTTGTTGGTTTTCAGCCTGAGCTTGTCTTTGTCTTGCCTGTTATAGTGTGCTCTTAGTTGACAGCAGTGAGCCGGTGCTTTTGCTTTCCCGTTAGTCGTGGGATTTGCTGGCCAATCATGAAATAGCAGCGGAAGTAATAAATAGGAGTTTAAAGGCAAAGAATTACAGTAAGTAGGGAAGCCCCTCAGAGAGTAAAAGAGAGTCTGTGGGCTTAGGGGAGCAGTTGTGAGCAGTGTCTCAATTTACCTGTAACATTGGAAGATTGACATCTGATTGTCCCTATAAAGCAGCTTTCTTTACCTGTGATAGTAAGCCACGGTGAAAAGTGAATTCACATTCAAAGTGATTTGTGATTTGATGCAGATTATAAAATGTAGATATTTTTCTTCTAATAAATTACATAGGCTAGTGGAGCACTGACAGTTTATTTCATACCTAGAAATGTGTGAATTTTTTTGCTGGTAGTAGTCAGATTTTAAAACTTAATCTCCCTGGCAATTCCTTTATATTTTATATACAATTAGTTTTCATTAATGAAAATTATTGTGAAGCAAGCCTAAATAAATGTGTGCTAATGAGCCTGCAGTCGTTTTACCTCTGTGTCCGGGGGATGTGTTCGCGCTCGCTGCCCCGCAGCCGGGGGTCCCGAGGGCTGTGTTCGTGCCAGCTGCCCCGCAGCCGGGGGTCCCGGGGGCTGTGTTCGAGCCCGCCGCCCCGCAGCCGGGGGTCCCGGGGGCTGTGTTCGCGCCCCCTGCCCCGCAGCCGGGGGTCCCGGGGGCTGTGTTCGCGCCCCCTGCCCCGCAGCCGGGGGTCCCGGGGGCTGTGTTCGCGCCCCCTGCCCCGCAGCCGGGGGTCCCGGGGGCTGTGTTCGCGCCCCCTGCCCCGCAGCCGGGGGTCCCGGGGGCTGTGCTCGCGCCCGCCGCCCCGCAGCCGGGGGTCCCGGGGGCTGTGCTCGCGCCCGCCGCCCCGCAGCCGGGGGTCCCGGGGGCTGTGCTCGCGCCCGCCGCCCCGCAGCCGGGGGTCCCGGGGGCTGTGTTCGCGCCCGCCGCCCCGCAGCCGGGGGTCCCGGGGGCTGTGCTCGCGCCCGCCGCCCCGCAGCCGGGGGTCCCGGGGGCTGTGCTCGCGCCCGCCGCCCCGCAGCCGGGGGTCCCGGGGCTGTGTTCGCGCCCGCCGCCCCGCAGCCGGGGGTCCCGGGGGCTGTGCTCGCGCCCGCCGCCCCGCAGCCGGGGGTCCCGGGGCTGTGCTCGCGCCCGCCGCCCCGCAGCCGGGGGTCCCGGGGCTGTGTTCGCGCCCGCCGCCCCGCAGCCGGGGGTCCCGGGGCTGTGCTCGCGCCCGCCGCCCCGCAGCCGGGGGCCCCGGGGCTGTGCTCGCGCCCGCCGCCCCGCAGCCGCAGCCGGGCAGCCGTCTCGCGTCCTTGTCTCTCACCATGCTCTGTTTTTCTTCACACAGTGTGTAGTTTTGCTGCTGGACTCTTCCCTCCCTCCCCCCACCCCGTCAGGATGCTATGAGGCTTGAAAGAAGACGATGCATACAGGTGACTCGCGTTTTGAAATACAGTACAACTGTGGGCTGTCTGAGAGAATGTGGGGACCGGTGATATATTTTGAATGGGGGGAGCTTTCTGGTAAACAGCATTAGTGGGGAGAATTGTTTAGATCACTAAATGCAAATATATAGCTGGGGTTTTATTAGACTTGACTTTGGGCATCGGTTTGCTAATCAGTAACTGAGAGTGGTATTAATACAAATACAGCATAGGAATTGCTAGTTCTTGACCTGTTCAAAAGGGGATGATTGGCTAAAGTACTTTGGTGAGATTTGAAGTATTTCTGTTAAAGATAAATTAAATATTCACCTTTATGGGTGAATGCATGTTTCCCTCGGACCCCTTTAGAGCTGAGCTGTACAGGCTCATGGAGTAGATGTTGTGGTGTGTCTTAAGTAAGACTCCAACTGGTAAATCAAGGATGTCACACCCATCTGTGTGAGTCCTGAAAACAGTATGGTCTGAGGTTGTGTGTCTCCTTTCCTGCCTCTCGCCGTCCCTCCCTCCCTTCCTCTCTCTCTCCTTTCTTTCTTCCTTGCCTCTTCTCTTACCCTCTTGTTTGTGTTTATGTAGGAGAAGCAGCATACAAGGCAGTTTTGGAAGAATAGTTTTGATTGCTTTATAATTAATTGAGGTAATCTTATACACGGAAAAATGAAGGCTGTTGTATCTGTGGCTGTGTTCAAACTCTTGAAAATGTAGTGTAGCTAATGGATAAGGTGTTATTAATGTTTAAATTTGAATGTTTTTAAATCAGGCTGATTAGGAGGCATTTTGTTGAACCAAGTGGCTTATATTTGTAGACCTGGACACAGACATTCTTGCTTGATTTATAAACTGAAAATGTGGTCTTTAACTGGAAAAGAAGTAACTACATAAATCTTGGGTAGATACTTAATTACATTATTGGTGAAGGTTTTTGTGATTGGTTTTTGGTTTTGGTGATCTTTGTTTTTCAAACAGAAAAAAATTACCTTTTTTTGACTTCAGAGTGGAGTTAAAAAGTCTCAGGTGTACCATTTTGTATGAAGAAATGTGCTTGAATATATATTAATTATAGATCAAATCATATTTTACATTCACGAGGAACTCAGAGTCTGATAGTAGTTCTTTTTTGAGTAAAAGGCGATTGAGTGATTATTGCTGTAATCTGTGTCCCAAGGGTGCACGTATGTATTTGCCTGTGTGTACTAGAGGTACACCGCAGACACACGCCGGCCGAGTGCCTGGTAGAGTCAGCGCGATGGGAGGCCGAACATCAGTGTCATGGAGGAGTGAATAAGAAGGAACTCACAGAGAACATTGTAGAATGCTATGAAAATTGTGTTGTCAGATTCTGTAAGCGTGACTTCTTGGTGCAGGAATAGTTTCTGAGCCCTGTTGGCTCCCGGGTTGCGCCTTGGGCACTGTCCTGCACATTGGCTATACCAAGTAGATGCTTACTTTCACCAGAGGTCAGGAGAGGAACGAAGTGTTCTGGGGGTGTCTCAAAAGACTTATCCATGAATATTAATGATTCTGGAGGTTTTCCCTGAAGGAACTTCGAGGTGGCAGAGTTGCTCTTTTATTTCTAGGTTATTGTCACAAGATATGAAAAGTTTCCAAATAGCTCTATTTCTTGAGAGGCTTATGGATGAACTGAAATATCTAAAGAGTAGATCCAGTTTATAAAGATTATCTAGTTCATTTTATGAATTCTGGAACACACATAAAATTTACAAATATCAGATTTGTGGTGTAATCTAGTCTCTTAATCAGCCCTGTATTCCTTAAAAATTACCAACATTTATTGGCTGATAAAGGGAAAGACTGAAGAAGGAAGGTTTGACTCTGATGTGTATATTAACTGTTGGTGTATTTCCCCTTCAACAGTTTGAAAGTTAATAATTGTTTTTGAATGTAAAATTAACAGCTTTTATAATCATCATTCATTAATGCAGTTTGCTCTGGTTTTATGATGCACACATTTATTATTCAGCAGACAGGATTTTAACACATAAAAGCTCATAAGGAGTTTTTCATTGGGAGTTATTCCTAGAATGTTTTTGCATACTTGGAAGTGAGTGTTGTTTCCCCAGGCATTCATGATCTTGACTTTATATTGGTGAGATATGATGATGCCTTACTCTCTCATACCGCTTCATTTTAGGTGCTTGTTCAGGGACGCTAGAAAGGACGTTGAAGTGTGTTTTGACTGACTGCACTTTTCAAAAGCCAAAGCTTAATAATTGATTTTTACTGAACAGCAAGCTAAAGTTAAACTTTAATATATCTTTAGTACATGTGTTTATAGGTGTTTCTGTACTTGTTTAATTGGAGGGCACTTTTCATATTTTAAAATACAGTTAGGATATATATTAGGTAAGATTGGATTATTTTTTGATTTTTAGAAGAAAAATCATTTATGACCAAACATTCGTTTCGCTAACATTTGCTTTGTACCAGGTGCGATAGTAGCGCTCGACTTTAAGGATTCCTGTGCTTGAGAATCAAGGAACACATTTCAGCTGGAAGAGGGAGAAAATATATAAACAAATTATGCAGTGGATATTTATGATAAATTTTAGATCCTTGTCTGTTGAATTCAAGGCACCTAGAGTAAAAATAGAAAGCACTGTCTGGTCAAGGCGTTCGCAGTAATGTCTTCACCTGATACCTACATGTTGTCAAAATCTACTTTTGTGTCCCACTCTTCTGAGCTCCAGAATCACATAACTGCCTCCTAGATGTCTCTCCTGAACACACTTGCTCCTCTCTTATTTATTCCTGTTAGCGATGAGTGACACCATTCTACCAAGCATGCGATCATCTTGAGAACCTAGGAGCTACTCCTTACTCCTTTGAATTAAGCAGTAACCAAATTCAGTTTATTTAGAATGTAGAAAGTACTTAGGAGATTAAATTTGGAAAATATACTGCCTCAGAGATCACTGTGCACATTAACATATAAGTGCTTGCATTTTTCAAATTTATTTGATAAAAGAACCTCCCCTTTTGTTTCTCATTTATACCTGTTAACATTCAGTGGAACAGTAATTGGAAAAGCTGTTGGTTACAGCAGATGATACTATTCTTTATTTTGCTGGGCTTCTTTAACAACTGAAATATATATATATTTTTAATAACAGTGATAAGCTAGTTATTTGAAAGCTTGAAATAGTTCTAGAACATACATAACTATAACTCTTTGAGGATGAATGTGAGTAAAATGTGAGTTTTGTGGGGCAAAGTTTGCATACTTAAGTGATGACAGGAGTATGACATAGTATAATATTATATAGCAGTTAGAAGTCAGATCTGTAAACTTAAATAAAATCAACTTTTGTAGTCCCATTTGTATACACAGGGTGCATGGAGGGGAATAAAAGGGTCTGTGCATTTTGATATGTGAGAGTGTATTGCCCATTTGACTCCTTTTGGTCTTATTCTTCATGTGGTCCTGTGTAAATAGTCTTTTTCTATATGTGTTTTCCCTTCTTTAGTTCTCATTCATTTCTTAATCCTGAGTGGTCTGATTTTTGTGCTTAATAGTTCAACAAGTTGATGGTTTTTGGTGAATGGTTAAATCCAGTGGATTTATTTTTGCCCTCAGGTTTCAAGTTTTCTCCCTGTTAACTTGGTAATGTAGTATCAGTGAAAAAATTTGGAAATTTATGACTATGGATGAGTGGAAGGAATATACACAGAGTTCTACTGCCCATTGTGCTAGGGCACTTTCTCTGACAGTGTTTTGTTTTTGATGCCATTTTTTATTAAGATCATCTGAATAGGTTGGTGTGCTTGGGCAGAATATGTTTTCATACTGTTTATATTTTCTCTTTTATTGCCCAGCATTATATTGTGAACATTTCCCTATATCATCAAAAACTTACTAACTATAGTGGTCTGCTGTTCTTTTGAACTTGGAGCACATTCAGAGCATTCAGAACTATAACTTTTTGAGGGCACACTATTTTAGAAATTTATTTTAAAGTATGTGATTGGAAGTTGTTTCTTTATATGCTCATTTCATAGTTAAGTTAGATGTCTCGGGGACTTTTTTTAAGTTTTCCTTTTCACTTTTTTTTTAAGTACTAACATTTGTGCATGAGTGTTTGTTTGTATGTTGAATTATTGCCTTGTAGTTTGTCCCTAGAAGTGTAAATATTTTAGCTCATAGGGCTTAAAAAATTTTAAGACCCTTCATACAACTCTTTAGAAAGGTGTTTGGTAAATGTACCAGTTTATACTTACTAGCATTAGACAATCTTTGTCTTTTTAATATACCTTTGTGAGCAGTGAGTATTATAGTTGAAAATAAGTTTCCAATTCAGCTGGCAAAGAGAAGAATCTTCTGTTTTAGAAAATATAAACTGATAGTGTGTTCTCAGTGGAGGAAAAAGTTTAGTTGCTTCAGAAATGCATAAAGTGACAAACCTAACATAGTTCAGTAAATATTCTCCTCCCAGGATTCTTTGTAGCAAGTGGTCTTGTTTAATGCTTTTATGGCATTTACATATGTTAGCTGGCCATTTTTTGGTCCCAGCTAATCTGATTCTCTGAGTCAGAGGACCATGACTTCTTCTCATTTTTGTGTCCTGTGTCTAACGGTTCTTGTGACATAGAAAGCGTTCAACGAATACTTGTTAAAGGAACAAAAATTGTTACTCTATTAATACCTAAAAATATCTACTCTGAATGTCTGCTTTAATAAATTTCTTCAGGTGGTTTTAAGAGTTTCACATTATTTTCCATTTCCTTTTATGTTTCTTTCTTTCTTAACTGTTTCTGGTTTCTAGATGAAAGTGATTAATAATGATTGCATCTGGTGTGTGTCTCATAAGAGAACATAGGATTTTTATAGAGAAGATGGTGGGAAACCTGAGGTTAGCCATGTTGTAATGTTGTGTTTCTTAGGCCTTAGCACCTTCATTCAAGACCTTGGTGAAAGCAAATGGATTCACACTCATCATTTTAAATTTTAGGGATACTTGCTAAATATACCTTCA